TAAAAGAATGCAGAGCCATAAGCAACAACATTGCTGGGAGTCCTGCAGACCACCCCTCCTTAACTCTTACTTGACTCAGCTCTCCTTTGTCAAGCAGCGGGGAGGACCCAGAACCCCACTGAGAGAGCCATTCTTTATCTGCCTGGTCAGTCTTACTCACATTCATTGCATACAGAGCTGATGACTGAACTGCTTCTACCATAGGAATCAGCAGTAACCAAAAGTATACTTCTGCCCAAGAGTTTTTATCCTGTAGTTTCCTAATGGGAATTTGGTTGCTATAGCAACAGCCAAGCTCTGCCAGAAGGAGAAATTCCTTGTATAAAGAGCCCGGAGGACCTTGTGAAAATAAAGGAAATCTTTAAAATGGAGCTGGGAAGCCCTGAAGGGGGAGCTCTCCTACACATACCACCACTCGTGGCAGCCTGGGTAACCAAGGGAAGAAGGAAGATGAAAATTATTGAGGCAAGAGAGGACATTTTTCACATAGGAATTTTATCTCCTGCTTTTAAGAGAAGGAAGGAGGATCCCTCCCAGCCCCAGCAGCATCACATTAACCCCCACTTGCAGCAAATGAGAAACTACAACCTCAAACTCTTGTTCTTCTCCAATAAACTTTTGTTCTAAGCAACCCTGCCCAATTTCCTCCTAAAACCCAATAAAAGCTGACCTTCCCTTTGTCCCTTTGGACTGGCTGATGGTTCACCATGGCTTGTTTGTCCTAAATTGCAATTCCTCTGTTATTGCTGAATAAACTCACATTTTCTTGCTTAAATAAAATTACTCTTTCCTGTATTTAAATTTAACCTTGAGTATCAATCTTTGCTGATTTTGACCTGAAAGATTCAAAATTTCTTAGTACCTGTCAGTTACTAGGAAATATTTATAGCATTTATATCATGTTAATCACAAAGTGAATCTAACATTTCTTTTTATACACCTGACTAATCTGGTCATAGAGAGATCATTGGGTTTCTGGGTCCCTGGGCCATGCTGGAGTCTGGAAAAAAAAATCTGGGTACTCACACATACCACCAACCAAGTTTCTCAGTCTTACCTCAGTTTTGTTTGAGTGAAGTCATTGCTCTTCTCAAGCCCTTCTCATGGCCTGTTAAATCAAATCAAACTTCCAAATGGAAATTGGAGCCTTTGCACACAAATTACCATATTTTCCCTTATGCTCTAGCTCACTGGGCATGGTGTTCATGCCATTTTGTTCTCTTCCATTGGAGGATTACCCCTCCCTTACTTAACATTGATCAGTCCCCATGGTGAGGATGGTATGACCCAGTTCTCAAAGCTGACCAGACTGAGACTTTCCTGGAATTTTTTCAGAATGATAAAGGGAAGACACTCTTCTGCTCCAGAAGCTGATAAGTTGGTAGACTGTGAATCTTGGACCATCATGCCCAACATGTGGGAAAATCTTGTATTAGTTTGCTCAGGCTACTATAACATAATAGCACAGACTGGGAGACTTACACAATAGGAATTAATTTTTGCTAAAAACATTGGGGTGCAGGTGTCTTGGTCTTTCACTGCATCTATATCTTTGGGGTAAATCCCCAGCAGTGCAATTGCTGGGTCATAGGATAGCTCTATTTTTAACTCTTTGAGGAACCTCCACAGTTTTCCAGAGTGGCTGTACCAGTTCACATTCCCATCAGCAGTGCAAAAGGATTCCCCTTTTTCCACATCCTCTCAACATTGGTTGTTTCCTGTTGTCTCCAATAAAAAAAAATATACAAAAAAAAAGGAATTGATTTTTGCACAGTTCTGGAGGTCAGAAGTTCAAGATCTAGGTGCCAGCAGGGTTGATTTCTGATGAGACCTCTCTACCTGGCCTGCAAATGGCTGCCTTCTTGCTGTGTCCTCACCTGCCCTTAGTCTGTACATGCACCCTCCTTGTATCTCCTCTTCTTATAAGAACACAAGTCCTATTGGATTAGAATCCCACCCTTGTGACCTCATTTAATCTTAATTACCTCCTTAAGGCCCACTGTGTTTGGACACAGTCCTATTTGGGATTAGGGTTTCAACATACAAATTTGGGGCTAAGACAGTCCTGTCCATAACAGATTCCATAAAAGAAATGGAGAGAGAGTGGAGCTTCAGTGACATTGTCTTAGTCAACTGACCCTACTTCTCTAAATATTCCATTTCCTTTAGTACTTTTTCTTTTCTCTGTAACTCTACTCTCTTGGTTATTTAAATATATCTACATAATGTCCATTGCTAAGAAATGACTATTGTTGAGAAGAATGAAGAAATGGTGTTTGGGAACATTAGAAATTAACAAAAATACTGTTTTCATTATAAATGGAGAAGAAGAATCATGATCTCCATAGGTTATTTACATTACATCTTAACTAAAGACACATTCACCGTAGACCTCTCAAATATTTTACACTGCTGAAGATGGCCTTAAGAAAAACCTCTGTTGCCTTAGTATCTTTCTTAAGCACAATTATGAGACTATGTAGCTGTTCTGATATTTTATACCCCATCACCAAGCAGAGACGAGAAAACCAGAATTCAGCAAAATCTGTGTGCTTATTGTGCTTTATCACTTCTTCTACATATATCAGATGTTGAAGTTCAAAACTTCTACTTTTAAATAGAATAACAATACCTATTCCCTTTCCAATCCTACGTGAAAGGAACCATAGATGATAGCTCAGCCAGTTGTCTAAAGTTGAAGTGTTCATGCTATATTCCAAGGATAAAATTCATGATACTTATGTACTCAGTTTGAGAGATGAAAGGGAAACAGAGACTAGCTAAATCATATCTCCTCATATATGCCCCAAATCCATCTCCTCGGCTGATACCTAGCTTTTAAGCCAATCTATCTGTGCTACACATACAACTGGGGACAGAGGTGGGAGTTGGGAGGAAATTGCCACTGAGTCTATTATTTGATGCTTAATGCAGAAAAGGACTTCTATTCCAGTATGCTAAATATGGAGCTCTAAACTCTGAACTCCTTAAGCACAGAAGATGTACAATAATCCATCTTTGTGTCCCCTGCACCCACTACTGTGCTTGACCTGGAGTCAGGGATCAAGAGATACTTTTGGAGAGATGCCTGGATGGCTCAGCAGTTGAGAATCTGCCTTTGGCTCAGGGTGTGATCCCGGGGTCTGGGGATTGAGTCCTACATCAGGCTCCCCGACAGGGAGCCTTCTTCTCCTTCTGCCTATGTGTTTGCCTCTCTCTCTATGTCTCTCATGAATAAATAAAATCTTTTAAAAAAAGATACTTTTGGAATGAATAATATAAAGATACAAGTATGAGCTTGAGTAATGACATTGGCAATTTTATTAAAGATGTCTGATGAGCCCTACATACTCAAAATTTTGAACCCACTCAAAAGGGTATGTGATAGAATGCACTAAGACCATGACTACAGTTTTATATCTCTATATTTATGTTTATTAACTTCATGAGTATAGTTTAAGATTCAAATTTTATGACTAAAGATGGTTTAAGAAGCACCAATAGATTAGATGTCAGAAAATGTGGCTTCCCATCTTGGACAGTCCACAAGTTGTGTAACGTTGCACCACTTGTTTCATCTTTCCAGAAGTCTTGATGCCCTCATCAATAGATAAAAGTTAAATTACTTTCATTCAAATGCTCCAATGGTTCCTGAACAATGAACTTGAAAATGAAACATCTTAGAGCTTCTGCAATCGCGTGGAAATCTACCTTTGCAGATTGATTTCCTAAGTCATCAGCTCCCACCAGCCTGCCCTGTGCCTTGTTTGCTGGCTGCTGCCCCATTTCCTTCTGCTGAAATTTCCGGCCCGCTCTTCTCACCACTGCAATTCTTTACCATTCTTCAAGACCCAGACCCATGTCCATCTCTTGAAGACTCCCAGACCACACACACTGGGAGTTTATGGGTAGTGTATGAGAGCCCGTCAAGGACAGAGCATGACTGATTTCTTTCAGATGCTGCACCCAGCAGCCCCCACAGTGTAATTTGCAGAGAGTCCAGCATGGAATAAAGGGAATATTGTGGCTTCCCACTCTCCTTGACCTCTTGGTGGACGTCAGAGCCTTCACTGCACTCAACCCCAGATCTCAAGATTTCAAAGATCAAGAAGAGTCCAAAGAAAGATCTTTGTCCCAGAAGTTAGTTACTAATGAGGCAAAAGGATCTGGTGCCTGTTTCCTCACATTTATTACAAGCACAATGGTCTTGGTCTGTTTAGGGAGTACTTGGAATGGGAGATGGCTGGGCTCAACGGTGAGCCGGACTCCATGTTTCATCATTAACATGCATAGTCCTCAGGAAGACAACTGAGAAGTCTAGAATTGATAATTTAGGCTAAGTTATTTAAAGTAATCTTTGAGGGATCCCTGGGTGGCGCAGCGGTTTGGCGCCTGCCTTTGGCCCAGGGCGCGATCTGGAGACTTTGGATCGAATCCCACGTCGGGCTCCCGGTGCATGGAGCCTGCTTCTCCCTCTGCCTGTATCTCTGCCTCTCTCTCTCTCTCTATGTGTGTGTGACTATCATAAAATAAATAAAAATAAAAAATAAAAAAATTAAAATAATCTTTGACTTTCTCACTACTAATATATATATATATATATATATATATATATATATATATATATATATATAGTTTCTACAAAGTTACAAAAAAAAAACCTGGAACATGTGCTGAAACAACGTTCATTCTCATTCATAATAACTAATCTCAAAGAATCCTGAAATCCAATTTTGCATCTTTGTTTTTGTGGAGTGAATCTAATCTATCTACTTTTCAGATGTGAAAAATATTCATGATTCTATTCCAAAGTGTAAAACTGCTATTTAGTATTGTAACTCCTAATTAAATGGCACACCAATTCTTCTGATGAACTTTGTGGTACTGTGATCTTACAGTGCTCATGGGGGCAAAGCTGCTGATACATGAATTCACAGACTGAAGTAAGCATACACTGGCCCCACCCTCCCATGACCACCAGGAAAAGAAAGAAGAGAGGCTTTTTTTGGTAGGTTGCAAGTCCTGGTCTGGTTTATTTATAAAGCAATAAATATTAGAAGCACAAATAAATTGCACATGTGTAAACAAACTGTACAATGATTGATGAGAGATAAGGAAGGGTGGTTCGGGAGATTCCAAGAAGCAGAATACTGTCATCCTGAATGTAAAGTAGACTAAGAGAGAAGCACCTTAGAAGCATTTGCGGTGGACGATGGACGGGCCTGCCTCATCATACTCTTGCTTACTGATCCACATCTGCTGGAAGGTGGACAGGGAGGCCAGGATGGAGCCCCCAATCCAGACAGAGTACTTACGCTCAGGGGGAGCAATGATCTGCAGAAAGACAACAAAAGCTTCCAGTGAACTCTGACATTCCAGGCAACAGATTATGTTGGTGAGATTCACAGAACAAATCTTAGATGTTAATTCATTGTAATGTAATGACAATTACATCCTCAAAAGTATTATGGCTGAATCAAGTTTTATGCACTTTCCTCTGGTTCATTATATCCAGTATCAAAGACTCTACAAAATAGAATTGCCCCACTTTTCTGATCTAGAGTATAATGTGGCAACAAGCTAAATGTCTGGTGGAGGCTAGCCTAAAAGTTGGAGCCTTTTAAAATGTGTTCGAAGATGTAGGGTTTTTTTTTTCTTCCAAGATCTATTATTATCCATTGCTTGAAAATATATTTAAAGTCTCCTATCTTGGAAAAAGTGCTAAAAAAGCTAAGAGGTAAAGTGTAGAGGAGACAGGAAACAAAGAATGAGTTCTGCTTGCAATACTGAGACCCGCCTTGGCTCTCCCACCCACAGGAGTTCTTTACCTTAATCTTCATGGTGCTGGGAGCCAGGGCAGTGATTTCCTTTTGCATGCGATCAGCAATACCAGGGTACATGGTGGTACCTCCGGATAGCACGTTGTTGGCATAAAGGTCCTTGCGGATGTCAATGTCACACTTCATGATGCTATTATAAGTTGTTTCATGGATGCCAGCAGATTCCATACCTAGAAATAGGTTTAAAAAAAAATCACAGTGCACTCAGGCCAGGGGCCCAGGGTGGAGGGAAGAAGAAAGGATTCCTTTGTGTTGATAAACTGTCACCCATTTGTCTCTGAAACATATGTTCTTCTTTAAGATCTACTGCAAGGCGTTTGTGGAGCAGGTGTCTCTAACAGTGCTGACAGTTAATCCCCAACTGCCAAGACACAAACAACTGTGCTCAGCACCTGCTGGGAATGAACACTTGAACACAAACATTAGACGTGCGAAGTTGGAAAGGGTGAGACATGCATTAGAGTTAGATTAATGCAATTTTTATTTATAGCTAAGGTAAGATTCCGACAAGCTTCCTCTTAGAAATCATTCGGAGGCAGGATGTTTGGTAAGATACAGGGGTCCAGTCATTCCTACGAGTATGATTACTGTTTCATTCAATGATGAGTAACTTCAGAGTAAGTCCGGCGACTCGTAATGTACTTACTGGAATAAGTCAGCCCTTCTGACTAATCATTCCTTTCCTACAGATACAGGTTATTCAATTACTACTCTGTCTCATCCTTTATTTTGACATGAAGTCAATGTGTCATCTTTGTCGTATCACAGCGACAGAACTGTATGGCCCTCCCTTTACTGAGTCACCAGGATCTGAGGCTGAGCTGTGTGGGACCTTAAGCTATGACTTCTTTTAACTCAAGGGCTCCTTAATCCTTCTTGATGATAATAGATTTTGCTCTGGGCCACCCCTAGATTTCCAGGGAAAGGCTGTACCTCTGCCCCAGGCCCTACCACTCACCGATAAAGGAAGGCTGGAATAGTGTCTCAGGGCAGCGAAAGCGCTCGTTGCCAATAGTGATGACTTGGCCATCGGGCAGCTCATAGCTCTTCTCCAGGGAGGAGGAGGAGGCAGCTGTGGCCATTTCATTCTCAAAATCCAGGGCAACATAGCACAGCTTCTCTTTAATGTCACGGACAATTTCACGTTCAGCTATAGAAATAAAAGGTATCACAGTCAAGCTCCGAAGAAGGAAGTCAACCGTGGGGAGTAGATAGCTTCTCTGGTTGTGGAAGAAAGCAGACACGTTGCTGTGGCAGATGACACACACACACACACACACACACACACACACACACACACACTCACCAGTGGTGACAAAGGAATAGCCACGCTCAGTGAGGATCTTCATGAGGTAGTCAGTCAGATCCCGCCCGGCTAGATCCAGACGCATGATGGCATGGGGCAGGGCATAGCCCTCATAGATGGGAACGTTGTGAGTGACACCATCCCCAGAATCCAGAACAATGCCTGTCAGGAAGAAACAGATAGGAGCAAAGTAAATCCCTGAGGACACCATCCCCTTAGCTGTGTCAAAGCCTACTTCCAATCTTGGCTAAAAGATACTAGCACTGGGCATGGATCCAGATCAAATTAGGTTTCTTACACACAAAGAATAAAAATGAGCACAACGAGGGCTAAATCTGAAGCCAGCAACAGCTCACCCTTTTCAATATTGTAGTAGAAAAATTTCCCCAGGACCCTTTCAAATGACCATCGCTTTCACCAGCCATTCGCTCAGTATGGGAACATCCAGGCGTGTTTTTCTTTCCTCCCATCTTACTTGCACGTGTTCTCTCTTTTTTGACTCAGACCCTGTAGGGACTGTCGGTTCTCCTTGAGGATGTTTGCCCAGGCGCTGTGTGGGCATGAACACATACCAGTGATGGTTGCGTTCCGGGTTTGTAACATCATGTGCAATCTTGATATGTGACGTCACCTACTTTAGGGTGGGTAGGGATCTACCTCCACGGGCTTTCAACACGTGGAGAGGTATGTGATCTGAAACTATTGTCACCTCCCTCTCTTCTCTGGGACACCCTCCCAGGGAGCGCGAGGGAAGCCGATTCATGGCAAGGTCAGTGACTGTGTCCACAGCCCAAACATACCGGTGGTACGGCCAGAAGCATACAGGGACAGCACCGCCTGGATGGCCACATACATGGCAGGGACATTGAAGGTCTCAAACATGATCTGGGTCATCTTCTCACGGTTGGCCTTAGGGTTGAGTGGGGCCTCGGTGAGCAGAGTGGGGTGCTCCTCAGGGGCCACGCGGAGCTCGTTGTAGAAGGTGTGGTGCCAGATCTTCTCCATGTCATCCCAGTTGGTGATGATGCCGTGCTCGATGGGGTACTTGAGAGTCAGGATACCTCGCTTGCTCTGGGCCTCGTCACCTACATACGAGTCCTTCTGTCCCATTCCCACCATGACTCCCTGTAAGAAGAAAAAAGATGGGGAAATCAAGCTTCCAGCATTTTAGGAATATAACGGATGCCTTATAAATTTACACCTAACTGCCCAAGTCGAGGAACACCCTATAAATACCAGAAATAAAAAATACAATTTTACCCCGATTTAGAAATATCATTTATAATTAATCAGTCTAGTCCCTTCCCCCACCCACCCCCACCCTCCCCAGGTACAATTCCATTCTCTTTTTTTTTTTTCAATTTTTTTTAAATTCCATTCTTTAGACTATAACTGGGGCCGCTTCATCAAAGAAGTACAGCCTCACCTCATCTTAAAAATACATAATGCCTTCATTAAATGATTAAGTTCATCACCCATGTCAACTGAAATATAAATGACGACATGTGGAATGACTGAATTAATGACACATTGTATTTCTCCCAAGAAAAGATTTTGACATTCATCACGTGAACATGAAAAGATGGGCTAATTTGCCATCACCGCTCTGCCCCTGAAACACAGCCTGCCAGGCGCTGTCCTGCACTGCCCGTCAGTCACGTCAGGGCCCATGAATGCCGCTCTCCTTCCTGGCAGGGCATGTGGCAAAGCCCAAGAGCATGGCACTTCTTTTAATAAACAAGGTGACATGTCACCGTCACGCCTGGCTCCTAAAAATGCAACAGCCAGGAAGCAGATGGATGGCATCCTTTGGGAGCCGCGTAAGCTGGCTGTGAACAAGGGTTGGGTGTGGGTCGGGTCCCTCTGGTTGAGAGCAGTTCTGTTGTGCCACGCCGGGAGCAGGCCTAGGGGACCAAGGCCAAGTCACGCACAGAAGTGTGTAAGGGGCCAAGGAGACACTGGCAGCTAAGCATGCAGGTCAGGAGTGGAGGAGAGAGGCTGCCGACCTTTCCCACGGGGAGGGGACCCTGGGAGCGCCGCGCCCCAGAGAGCGGCAGGGGGACAGGTGTCCTGGGTGGTGTGCTGCTGGTGGGGGGAGCATGGCTTGTCTGCTGGGCTTGTCCGCGAATCCGTCCTTTCCTCATCTGCCCTGAGCAGGCCCTGGACCGGGCGGTCAGGGGGCCCCCTCCTAGGTTGCCGGCCTGGGGAGGCGCCGGGACACCCCAGGAGCGCAGGCCGGGCAGGGGCGTCTACCTGGTGGCGCGGGCGGCCCACGATGGAGGGGAACACGGCCCGGGGCGCGTCATCCCCCGCGAAGCCCGCCTTCACCAGCCCGGAGCCGTTGTCGCACACCAGGGCGGTGGTCTCCTCGTCGTCGCACATCCTGGCTCAGCTCCGGCGGGGTCTGCAGGTGGACAGCGGGGCGGCGCGCGCTCAGCGCCGGGGGCGGGGGGCAGCGGCCTTCCCCTGGCCGATGGAGGGGAGGGGTCCCCCGGGCCCAGCGGGCCAGGAGCTGCCGCCACCCCTCAGCGAGCCCTCCCCAGTCCGTCACACGTTTGCCTTCCCCGACCGGGAGCCCCCCAGGCCCCAACCGCACCCCCTGCCCGGGCCTAGCTGGAGGGACCCCGGTGACCGCGGGCGGGGGGCGGGGCGCGCACGGATCACCACCTGCGCGCCCCTCTACTGTGACCGCCGCGGTCAAACAACTTAGGATCACACCGAGAAGTTGGGGTTTTTCTTAAAAAAAAAAAAAAAAAGTAGTGTCGCGGCAGACTGGGGGTTTGGGGCCGGGGGCGCCTCGGGCTGGGGGGCCCGGGCTCCGCCGGGGGGGCGGGCGAGCGCTGACTCACCGTCGGCGGTCGGGCTCGGCTCGGCTGGGGCTGCAGGCGCTGGGTGCAGGGCGCGGGACGCGCCGCTTTATAGGGCGCTGAGGTCCGGGGTCAGTTGCGGCGGCCGGGGGCAGGGGTGGGGGGCCTGCTCAGCCACCTTGCCTTATTTGGTCGCCCTCGCACCACTGAGGAGCGCCGAGGCCATTCATGGAGCCAAGGGCAGGGGAGAGGATGGGCCAGGGGGCTCCCGGACCATGTAAGGAAGGGGAGGGGGCAACCAGGGGGATGGCCAAATAGGGAGCTGGGGAGGGGCGGGCGGTGCAGGGTAGGGGGCAGGGGGAGACTCAGCGACGCCAGCTCCCCTCCTACCCCCTTGGATGGAGGTGCGCCCTGGCTGAGCTGTGGCCTTCTCCTCGCAGCCCCGCCCGCCTAAGACAATAAGCCCTGTGCAAGCGGGAAGGCTTGGCCCCCTGCCCTCCGCTGAGGGGTCCTGACAGCTGGACCAGGGCAGCAGGGGAGCGACAGCAGCTTCTCATCTTCCACCACTGCGAGCTGCAGGAGAGCCTTGGCGGTCCTCGGGGACTCAAAGGGCACCACAGCAGCACATTTGGGTGGCCAGAAAGGGGGTCCCTGGGGCAGGTCACCCTGCTGGTCTAGTCTCCACCAGCTCAGGTTGCTGGGGCCTGTTCCTCTGGGTCCGAAAGCAGAGATGAACCGAGGCCACCTTGATCCCCAGCTCATGCATGGCTTAGGGTCTGGACTAGGGACGAGGCTAAGAATTGGAGAGAGAGCCTGGCCAAGTCTTGCTGGAGAAGGAGCCAGGTTTACCCCTCCACGGATATCAGGTAACTCTCCTCATGCTGCCAGGGTTTTGCTCCAACTCAGACTCCTGACTTTAGGCCAGAAAAGGATCCCCTGCTGCCAAAGTGAATGAAGGAACAAACGCCAAAAGTAGCTTGAGCACTTGCTGGTGGGTAGAGGAACAAACTGGGGGCAAAGGCCTTAATTCCAAGCAGAGACAAGACTGAAAGAGCAGATATTCTTGTCAAGAAGATAACAGCCACTTCAACCAACCAAACACATCACAGGACAGCAGAGTTAGAAACAGCAGAGTCTCGGCCTCCATTCACCTCTCCCCCCACCCCCACCCCTGAACTACTGATTCAGAATTGGCCAGATGCCCATTTGATTCATATGTACATTAGAGCCTGTGAAGCCACGATAGAAATGATACCAGCTCCTTCATGGAAACAGATTTAGAAGGATCTTGGGGCTTTGGAGAAGGGAGTGGAAACATGCCATGAACTGGGGAGAGAAGAAAGGAACAGAGAGACATAAGGACAGAGATTACTGATTTGCTCTGGGGTGTCCTGCATTCTCAGTTCTTGACTAGCACTTGGATTTTTAATGCTTGTGTTTTCCCTCCTGTTCACACCAGTTAAAAATAGAAAACTGGGCACAGGCACTCATCTCTAGAGTGGTCTTGGATTGATATGCTGAGGAGGTCAACTGATTAGATACTTGCCCAGACTGGGGAATGTTGGGCCCTCACTCCCTGAGCTCCCCAACCATGTTTGGGTTGGTTTGGAGAAGAAACTATGGGGGCAGCTGGGTGATGGAGCCAGGTGAGGGGTCTGGCTGGGGTCACACCCTGCCACACAATAGGCCTTTTACAAAGAAAATGCCCGTTGACAGGATGCGAAGGGCAGAGGGGTCTCAGCTCACACAGATGCAGAAGAACCATGGAAAAGGAGGAATGAGACTGGCATTACAGCCAGACAGCCCTGAGTTCAAATCCTGTTTCTATCGCTTACAAGTGCATGTGGTCTTGGGCAAGTCACTTCACTTTCCTGAGCCCATTTTCCCCTCTGAAAAAGGACACAGTAAGGGTAGCTTTTTTCTGGTAGGGGTTATTAATTATCAAAATAATGAGGGGCCATCCACATAGAAGATACACAAAGAAGAATCCACATAGAAGATACAAAGCAAATAGTCACTGTTACAGTTCAGTAGTTCCGATACTCCTGGAGGCAGCAGTTGCAGTCTCTTTCGAAGAACTGGGTCAATTTCATTCATTTATTGATTCAGCAAATATTTGTGGGACAAGAGCTGTGCTGGTCATAGGAATAAAGCGACACGTAAAGCAGAACAGAGCAATTACAGAAAAGTCAGAGCCGCATACGGCATGTGCTGGGATGAAAAAGTAGGGAATCACTGGGATAGTCATGAAAAGAGGGATCCGAGGAGGGATCAGCGAAAGCCTTCCTGAAGAATATCCTTTTATTGTCTTTAAAGTAGAGCAGGGGCAGCCCCGGTGGCTCAGCAGTTTAGCGCTGCCTTCAGCCCAGGGTGTGATCCTGAAGACCTGGGATCGAGTCCCACGTCGGGCTCCCCGTGCATGGAGCCTGCTTCTCCCTCTGCCTGTGTCTCTGCCTCTCTCTCTGTGTGTGTGTCTCTCATGAATAAATAAATAAAATCTTTTTAAAAAAATAAAGTAGAGCAGGACTGAAATTCATGAACATTTGTGTGAAAGAAGGTTTCAACCTGGGGGTGGCAGGATGTCAGGCTTCCACATTCACTGCCAGAGGGGTGAAGGGAGCAGTCCTGGGAAGTCCAGTGTATCGCTGAGTGCTGAAACTATCGGGGTGATTCCTCCGCAAATCCTTTCGGGGCTCAGGAGGCCAACTCCAGCGTCCCATCTTGGGACCAGCCTGCTCTGGTGGAGAGGGTAGGTCGATGGAGCGTAGATACCAGTTTCATAAGACAATCTAACCCCTTAAAATGTTTTCAGAACAATTTCATTTCCTTCCCACTTAAAACAAAAGGTATTTTCATATGCATCATGTTTATGGTAGGAAAGGACACTTTTTTCCCCTTAAAGCTGTGTGATAGTTCAATATTTGTTCATTGTAATACTGCTCAATTTCTACATTTTAAAACTCTGACCCATATTTTATGTATCTTAAAATATAAGCCAATGGGAAAGTAAGAGCCAGTGACTGGTTTTCCTTTGATACAGTTTTTGAGGGATCTGTTTTTTTTTTAAAGATTTTATTTATTTATTAGAGAGAGAGAGAGAGAGAGAGAGAGCACGAGCAGTGGGAGGGGCGAAGGGAGAGAGAGAAGCAGATTCTCCACTGATCAGGGGGCCCGTTATAGGACTTGATCTCAGGACTCCAGGAACACGACCCGGACCAAAGGCAGACGTTCAACCACTGAGCCATCCAGGTGCCCCTAAGGGATCCATTTAATTTGAAAATTAAGATTGATTCTGTCACATTTACCCAAGTATGTAAAAATGAGGTATCCTCTGTGGTGCTGTCCAGATATGCCTTTCTTTAAATTTAAAAAAATCTTAAATAGCTTGACATTTACCATGTTAACCATTTAAAATTGTGCAGTTCAGCAGTAATAAGTACACACACACTGTTGTGTAAATAATATCCTGATTTCATTTTTTGATGCAAAGTTTGACTGAAGTGTTCAAAGCGAGGAATGGCTGCCCTTGAGCCTCGCAGCGGGTCGGTGACACGGGGGGGGGGGGGGGCGTTCCCTGGGGTTCCCGAGGCCCCTCCAGGCCCCTCCGGGCAGGGACAGGCCACGGGGAGCAGCGTAGAGCGAGCCGAAGGCACAGAAGCTGGGCCCTTCCCCTGCCCTTGCCTCGAGGGAAGTCTGTTGGGTCCCCCATCTGCTGGGATCTGGAAGGGAGGGCCAGCCTCCTCCGGCCCTGGGGATTAGCAGTCACTCATGTCAGCTGTTCCCCCATCGGAGGTGTCGCAGTATTTACAGAGAAGCCAGAAACACACGGAGCCACACGTAATTCCTCCCTGGAGCCCCCCCCTCCCCTGCGGCCTGGCCTGCGGTGGGGCTCAGCAGGGAGGGCCAGGCCCTCTGTAGCCCAGACCAGGGGTGGGGGGCCAGCCGGCAGAAACACTTCTGTTCTCCTTCCCCCTGCACATTTGTTCACTCCCACCGCCCTCTGGCTGGAGCTGGTTTGGGTTTTCAGTAAAAGAAGAAAGTGACCTGACTGCCAGGATGCGGCCCCACACATCCTGGGGCCCGGAACTCGACACCAACGCGCCTCCTCTGTGCCTGGTGCTTCCCCCTGTTTCACACGCACCCGCCCCAGAGATTAACCCAGGGGGAGGGTATTTCAACTCCAAATGGATTCGGCTCTGGGCCCATTCTGGCACCAGCTGCCTTCTGACATGATAGGACCAACGGTGGTGAACCGTTTAATGAGGTTTTGAAAAGGAGGACAAAGCAAGGAGCAGGAGCAGAGAGGGAAAGCAGGAGGTAAAAGGAGGATTCTTCTGGATCCTGGAGTCACATGGCATAACCATCTATAAGCTGCATTTTCACTCTCTTTCATCCTGATGTAAGACCAGGAAATCACAAAGGATTTCTAATAGGCTTTTTAAAAATTCCTTAAAAGGACTTCGCCCTCCAAGGATAAAATGCTGATGCTCACAGGTTTCTGCTTGGAAGGTGTTCCTCTTAGCTCAGATTTGGCTTGCTCCCCCACACCGCCAATAACTCTATTTATGGAGTTTCAGTTTTCCGAGCATTACCTGGAGTGAGCCTGCTTTTCCTGGAGCCCAGATGTGGCATTGCCCAAGCTCAGTCTGGCCACGTTTCGTGCTCACACAGGTGCCAGACTATGTAGGCTACTTTCACCCCCTGCCTACTATGCAGCCCAGCTCCTCCCCAGAAAAGGTGGGGCACACATCTGACACATGGGAATAGTAGTAGGAACACTAACCACTGGCATTTATTGAGCACTTACTAGGGACCACGTGCTGCTTTGAGACTTTATATGGGTGCGTGGTCCAGGTGGCACTTTCTAGGTGACTGCCAGCTGCAGCGTCTGTAGAACTGCTCTTCCATGTGATGTCACCAGCCTATAATGAGGGGCCACGTGAGAAGAACACCATCTCTGTCACAAACGAAGGTACTGCTGCCTCTATTGCAAAAATGTCACTGGTGTTCGTCGAAGGACATAGACTTCTTTATGAACCTCTTAGTAAAACTTCCTTGCTGGCTCTAGCACCAAGAACAGTAGCACTGCCATCAAGTAACCAGTCTGTGTTGGATCCTATAGATCCGGAATCTAGTGACTCACCAGGTTTTTCTTTGGTAGGGGCTAAGAAAAACCCTAC